AATTTGAAAATACTATTTTGCCCAGTACTAGGGAGCCCACAAATCCGCTTCACGCACTTTTGCCAGTTCTCATGCTTCGATCTTTGGAAGGAAGCTTTTGTATCAGGACCCACCACTTGCAGCGAATTCTTCCGGCGCCGTTCATTGTTTAATGTCATGGCATGCTAAAAGGGCATACCCCGTGTGGCGCATAAGAATCCCATCGGTCGGATCTTTTTTTTACATTTGTACTGACTGCTGCGGTAGCCCGAGAAACAAGATAATTAGTCTTCATGATCTAGACAATAGTGGTATTCACAGTTTGACGAAAAAAATAAAACTGAAGTCACCGAGGTTCTTGCCAACGTGACTATATTTTCTTGGTTTCAGGTTGAGAAATGGTTATCAGACACTACAGGCAAGCAGCTGAAGAACAGTCAGGAAAAGTGGAGTTATGACTTCAAATTAGATAAGCCTATTGCTGGTGATATTGAATATGAGGCAGTCCCTATGGAGAAGGTTAGTAACTGCTTGTACATGTTTGTTTGAATTTCCACTATGGTTGTTATGAATGGTTTTATAGGTGCCTTCTATGTACAAACCGTATATTCATGGGAAGAAAGAAGACGCGAAAAGTTGCTGAGTTCGATCCCAACATTCCATCAGTTTCTAGCGAAGAACCCAAAAACGAACCTGATGCTGTAGCTCATCGACCTCTTACGCGGTGAGTTTTTTTGGTAGCGTGGACGATTTTGGAAAACACGTATGTTGTTCTCAAAATGAAGGCCTGAAAGCTCTTTGAAAACTTCGTCACTACATTTACTAAGGTCTTCGTTTACTTTCCAGTAATTGGTGCTTACTTGACATGAGTCTAAGCCTACGTTCTGTATCCAGAATTTGCTCTAAGATTTGCCAGCAAATGCTTCAAAGTAGTCTCCTCTCTTTACTGCATCCCTGCAATTTTGCAACTTGGGGAAAGTTCGCCCGAAATTATGGTATTTGGACGAGAATATTGACGAATGAGCAGTGCAATATAGAGTATCCTTTTGGAATTTTTCTATTTTTGTAGTTATGTATTGCTTATAATGTTGCTTCTTTTATGTGAACTTCAGATCCTGTACGAAACTTCAAGGTCAGAAGGTTGAACTGTCACGAGGTCTAAAGCAGGCAAAGCTCACAAGTGAGTTCAGAATCTATATTTT